AAAGTGAATCAATCGATAACTAAATTAGTTTATACTAACTGAAGTAGCTGGGTAATGTTTTACATACCAAGTCATATTTTATTTCACTGCATGATACCAACTGAAATATATTGGTCAGCTTGAAAAATAACATCCGTACAATGAAATCATTGACTGGTTGATCCGGATTTTGTAGAGAGTTGTGAATATCCCTTTTTCAAATATTTGAAAAGATAAAAATACGTTGCTAGATTATGACATGGTTTAGAACCAGTCACTATGATAGCAATTTATCTATTCTCAAACTTTTCACCTTGAGTTTATTATCATTATTAAATATTGGTTTTATGTGTGCTGTTGGTGTGGATTGTAGTAATGTGCAGGTGGGCGAGGGAGTTATATATTATGCGGAATTATAGTCTGATAAGTCTATGAAGTCTGTTTTTGCATATATACCCTTAGGAACAGTCGGTCATTCCCTGAATATTCTCGAGAAAATTTCTAATATCTATCTTCTTCACTTCAGCTTCAGTGTTACCACTGTATATGAAGTAAACATTCAAACGTATATACCTTTGATGTTTATTAATGATAACAATAAATAATGCTGATAGTGAAGATTATAGCATCTAAGTTTGAATATCTACGTCACATTTTATGATCACATTAATGCTGAAGTAGTGAAGACATACATTTGAAATTTTTCTTCAAGAATGTTCATGAAAGAACTAACTATTCCTAAGGTTACATGTGTATAAACGAACAGAGATTGTCTCGGTGTTTATTTTCTTACAAACGTTACTATACTTAATTGATATGCTCAAAATTGGTATTTTTTCAATATTTAATCGTTTTTCGATAATTTTCAGGCGGCACACTCCATTATCTATTCATCGATATTCATTGTTTATTGCGGTTACCATGTACAAATGAGTGTGCTTTGCTCCTAGCCACACCATGAGTATGACGATTAGTGATACTACCCGCTTGTCCTAAATGAATTTAGTGAGGAGGGATATCAGCCCTCAGCTTAATGACTGAAAGTAGAACACAATCACTGAGCTACTACTTTACTGGATGAGTCAACTGTTTAATAATAATAATAGATTAATGATAATAGTAATAATAATTATTATTACTATTATCCATAAATTAATTGAAACCTTGCAATGAGTCCATGTTATTTGTTGTCAAAAAATTTAATTATTCAATTATTGTTCCGTTGTACTATTTAAACTTGGATTAATTTTAATTTGGTTATTTATTCTCTGGAGAAGTGGCTTACACTAAGTCACGAAACGTCAGAAAATCACATTTTTTTACTCATTGGGATATTACAAATTTATTTATTTATTTATGGATTAAAACGTTTAATTAAGAAGTGTCATCAGTTGTATCAATGAAATTGAAATAAAACTTTGTCCTTTTAGATGTAAGACTTATTCAGTTGTCAGTGATATGTCTTACTATGTTGTTGTGCAGTTATCTGTTTCAATCGATCATTTTGTCTCACATACGGTTGATAATTTTGAATAAAAATTTTCTACAATGTATTTCAGTAACACAATTAACTTTTTATTTAAACACTCAATTTTTTACTTCACATTAAAATAATCGTCATTCATTAACATTTATTGTCTATAAATATACATAATATGTAGTTGTTGTTTCAGTAAACTATGGAATAGTGCAAACCAGTAGAGTTCCAAATTGGAGTTAATATTACTACTTTGAAGTTATGGAATAGTGTCTATAAAATATACGGACTGACTAATCAATAATCAGTGATAACGATTTCCAATTTAATGATAAGATATTAAATGTTCTTCCAAAGTACTTGATAGTATATACCGATTGTCTTTAGATTGTAGATTATTATCCAAGGTTTATACATATTCATAACGTGCATATGGCTGTACTATGCTTATACATAGACAAGATACCCTCATAGATGGTCATATCCATACTCAATTCAAATCATTTACCAGGTACATATTTGTATATTTAGCTTCGAGTCACCCTATATGAGATCTAGTATACTACCCGGTCGACCTATCAGAAGAAAGTAGGGTGGGGTTCTCATTCACAATTTACTGGCTGATGGTCAAACTCATTAGCCATCACTGCACACCCCCATACTTACTGAAACCTTGGCTAATGTTTCGATGTCACTTAACGATTCATTAACTTTTATCACTATTAATCATATTTGTCTAAATGAAAAGGTAGAACGTGGAGAAGCATTGAAATCTGTGCTATGTAATTGATGAAATGAAAAAGTGCATAAGGGATTGATATACTATTCGACGTATCTACGATGCGCTCATTCTTTCTGTTTTTATAGATATTACGAAGTAAATAAATAGTAAGCAACTCAAATCCTTATAACATCATTACCTACTGAAGTGGTCAGACTGATTGTTAAAATAAACTAATTGATGAAAAACACAAACAGTTCTATTGATAGAATTATGATAATCAAAATAAACTCCTTTAGGTGCTAGATAATCTGAGAAAAAATTCTGTTCCTTTGTCACGCATGATCCATTTTCATTTTCTTTAAAACTATTTTTTTCAATTATGGGGATTCGTGAATAGTGTTGAATCCCGTAGTTTATACGACGGACTGATTTTAGTTAGACGACCATTGAAAAAACAGGAAGCAGTGAAGAGCAGTTTCGTCCTTGTATGGCACTCCTTAGTGGTGTGCATCTGTGACCCCAGTGGGGCCGAACCGATGGATTCCCCGGATCACGGAGAGGAATTGACGTTTGATCTTTTAATATTTAATCATCAATCAGGCAAAACAGTGACATTTCATTCCTTTTAGTATGGTAAAGCTGGTCTCCATTTTACTTTGACTCTTCATATATGTATGAGGCGTGGTTCTTAGCCTAGCAAGTGAATATTTACATGGTTACTAAATTTCATTTGTTTAGTTCATTTTTCTATAAAAAAGCATTTTCTAGTTTTTCTGTCGTTTGTCCTATATTTATGTTAACATATATCTGATCTATGTTTCTTTCTTAAAAGTTGGGTAAATAGTGTTTATTATTATGGGAGTTGTAGATTGTGGGATTCGACTAATCATTGCATGGTTACTAGCGTCTTTGACTTCCAGAGTTCTAGTGTAAAGCCCTGACGATTGGAATTTATTAGTGTCGAATGAGATGTTACCAATGACTACGGACAATAGTCGCACGTTATCATGAGTTGATTGAAGTTGGAAATGTAAAAGTTTGGTTCCAACTTACTGGTTCGAAAGATATGCGGTTATTGTGAAACATGAAGGGCATTTATTCGAACGCTGGGGGTGTAGTGAGTGCACACCAATGAGGAGCCCCTTGCTAGGACGAAACAGTTGTCTAATACTTCCTGATTTTCAATAAGTGTTTAACTAAAATAAGTTTGTGATGTTAAACTATGAATGGTGGTTTATTTTTTTTCTAAATATTTTTTGAAGACGTATTCAATGCATAATAACAAAACAAAATTAGTGACATATTGAATAAAGTCTAGGTATTTTAATTTTGTAGTCAAGTGGATAACGCTATAGAGTTCGAGACAGTGTGTTTCATTTGAGATACCATCATACCCATCATAATGCGAATAGATTCAGATAATGAGACCACAACATAGCCAAACCTATTTTTTTGAATTGTATTATTTAAAATAGCCAAATGCTATCGATTTGGAAAAAAAGAAACCGGTTTTATTAAGTACACTTGATCTACATAGAGATTCTTGTTGTGTCTAGGTATACAGGTCTGATGAACTAATTTGATATAATGTCATTCATTTACGCAGTACAGATGTACATACTCATTTTTGACGCGAACACTTTGTATGTAGGCTGTTCAAGTCGAATTAAGTAGGGAGTGGCTTGAGCCTGCAACTTATTGGTTTTACTCAAATATTCTGGTCAATAAACCACCTATTTGTCCATTCTGTGTAAATAATACATGAAACTTATAAGCGAGGTAGAATTTTTTTCACTAGTTCATTTTATTCAAAGATAAGGAATAAACTTGAACTCTTGATATTATAAATGAGAATCTAGTATCTTTAATGAATTTAAGGATAACCGAATAATTGAGCATGATAAATTCAATCTCTGTTGATCTTACTTCTATTTTAAAGAGTATACTTCTTAGCTAGACGTTATTAAGAATATAGTAAAATAAAGAATTTACATTCACTCTATATTTCTGTCTAAATTTTCAGTTTTATTTCTTTTATTATAACTGTCTGTTGTTGGTATATTCTGTGTGTCCTTTTCTGAAGTTTTATTTTCATTATTTATATATTTGTTGATTAATTATTTTTTTTACTGTAAAGTATGGGAACTAAACTTGAAACTTTGTCATATGGAGATAGTTCTAAGTGTTGTCTATCATTAGTACGTGTATTTATTGGATATACACATACCGGTTTATTTGATTTATGAACATGAGTGAACAGAGTTCATAAATGTAGACAGTTTGTAAAAATTTCTATTGAGGAATGTAAATGAAAACATGTTTTTCTGTATTTAAATTAGATAATCATCGTATACTTGGTAAAGTAAAATTCATTTATCAAGAGTACAGACTTATGTGTACCAGGATTTGAGTTACACTTTCTTGTGTGTATGCGTACGCGCATATGTGTTCGATGATGACTACTGATATTATCCAGTTGTCTTAGCTAAATTAGATCGAACGGGAATTGTGAACTTGATACTTAGTGTTTGAATGTCGAGCTGTATAATTAAACGAACAGATCGGTACTAATATATATATAATTATGCACATATTGTCACGCCACGTGATCTCTCTTCTATGTGCATATTTATAAGTATGCAGTAGTGGAGCGACTATAAAGTATTTATTATGTCTATTAACTAGTTCAAAATAATATTCATTACCGTACTAAACAAAAAAAGGAATGAAAACGAGAGACAAATTAGTTTACAAAAAGAACTATATATATATATATATATATATATATATATATATATATATAAAGATGTTTAAATCTTCCTCTAAAAAAATGTGAGATGTTTTTGTGATTTATTGGATACGGTTTGTTTGTGATAGTTATTGATCAAATATAGATTTTATATATTTATTTATTTATTTATTAGCAAGTGTTTAAATAGAGCTCATCGGGAAAAAACTTAAACTGAATTTTTCACACTGTCGACAAGTCGTATTCATTCATTTATTCCATTTATCAATGATGATACCATTAAAACTGTTTGTTTAAGAAGAATGATGTCTCTGACTAAGCATATAAACAGTACGTATTCTGATTTCACAGAGTAAATGAATTGTACTTTGGCCTGGAATTCATGATTCACATTTCATCCAATTTAAAACTTATCAGCCAGATTAAATTGCATTTTAATGTGAATGTTCTCATCTGGGTAGTAAATAAGTATTTTGTTCAACGGGCATAATGTTTATATCGTTATTAGTAAGGATTTGATTACGGAAATATTATTAGTATTTTTATCGTTATTACTATTATTATTCAGATTAGTAGTATTACGAGAACACTCCGTGTATTACAAATCGTTAATATTTTAAAAATTAATCCACACAACTATTTTTTTTCGATTTTTGTTTACAAATTAATTAATAACATGTAGATTTACATTATTTAGATTACTTATTAAAATGACCTGCATTTAAGTTATGGTTTGAATATGTATTAATCTTCTCCATATATAAAACAGCTTCATAATATGATCGTATTATATAAAAAATTCTGCCCTGTTAATAAATTGGTTAGTTTATTAGCTTGGTTATATGTATCTTAGAGTAATTAGACTGAAGGAGGTGGCATATTGGAATAATGTTAAACTCTCTACTATTCCTTATCTTCTATGTTTGAGCTTGTTTTCCATATCTTGGATTGATTGATGTTATCTTTTAAAAATTTCATTTTTGAGAGAATGGATTTTCTACCCAGTGTTATAGTGAGAGAATTCGCCAGTGAGCTATTCAAGAGCGTAATTCATGTTTGAAGACTGGCACTTATACACTATTCATTCGTTAATGTAATAACCATAGTGCTGTATTGTCTAGTTCTTTGCTCTGATTGGGTACTTCTGGTCAACTTTGAGGATAACAATTAATTATAATTCTTTTATTGATCTTCGAGATAATTAAATTATGGTCTACAACTGTTATTATAACATTAAATCCATCTCATCTATCTATTGGGTCAGGAGAAAATATTTCAGGTGATTCTTTAACTACAGGATAAGTTTAGAATTAGCTCTATCCTTCTTTTGGATACGAAAGACGTCTCTCAAAATATGCGTAAATTAGTTTACCCATATACATATAACTGTTGATAGTGGGTTATTTATCAGGGGTTCACGTTAAAGTTAAACAATGGAATATAACAATTATTCATGTAATCGAGGAAATAAATAATTAATATTAGTTGTTTATATTCATGACATTTATCAACTTCCACAGTTCACCTGTAATTTTCCTGTTGCATTTAGGTAGTAAAAGTAAGTTCCATTGTTTATTGTACTGGTAGAGGCTTTTAAAGGGTGTCACTAAATTAAATTATAATTTGTATTTTCTTGATTTTTACTTCATTGCCCCCACCCTACTTTCATCCCAAGGACTGGAACCGATTGTAAATCACGAAGAGTTAATGATTTGTCATTGACCAATACTAGGACAATCCCATCCGTTTCAACAGGAACAATGTCTGATATAAGACATCCTAGTATGAAAAATAGTCTTTCTTTACCAAGATCAATGGATCAGTTGACAAATCGTTTGAATTCACGTTCTTCAACTCCTGGAAATGAACCGATGAACAAATACGATCATATGTGTTGTCCACCTTGGTCAAAAACTGATCAAAGGACTTACTCAACAGATTCTTCCCATTCTTATAAATTACAACCTAGTCCATATGATCATACAGTTGAATTAGCCGATTCAAGACTGGCTATACTACACGATGCAAAATTAGCATCTTTAAGTGTAGATTGGCCTTCTTGTACAATGACTCAAAATATACCTATGAGTAAAGCAAATCGAATTAGATCTTCAAGTTCTTTCTCGTCACCAGTATGCTTGGTATCGACTTCTTTTTCCAATATAACTTCTGAATCTTCATTTTCTACAAACCAATCACATACCAAAGCAGCAACAACCAGTTCATCCTCGTCATTATCATCTGTTTCATTTGTTACTTCTGAATCTCTTGTTAGAAGTCCAACTTCCGGTCATTGTAGTCCTAATATTCCTGTGAATTTCAATCCGAAAGGACCCACCCTACAGACTGAATCGCCCATTTCATCTTGTCAGACAATCAAATCTTCATCTCCAAATGCCGGAATAACTAGAATTCTCAACTCTAGCCAGTCACAATTCTCAGCGCTCTCTGGAGGAAAATCTCCAACTATTTATTCTTTATGTGGACAATTTTTATCTACGAATACAAATTCAACTAATCATAATGATACCATTGAATTGTCTAATAACGTAGAAAGTAATCGAATTAGTAACTGCCTAGGAAAGCGATCTATGCTACCTGAACAATATAAACAACATCCCTTAGTAGGTACACCAAGTGTAATGCCAACTTTGTTGCCTCAACCTAAACAAGAGTATACACGAACAAAGTTTTCTGTTGTTACTAATATATCAGATCATCGATCGCAAAACACTTCAATGCCACTGAAAAAACGACTTATTCAACGTTATGAAGCTGATCGTGTAGATATGAAACCATCGGAGTTATCAACATGTAACCTTGTTAAGACTGAACTACCTATGGATAATTCTCAACCTCATAATAGATCAACTAATGCAGATGATTTAAAAAACAATCAATATTCGCCTGAAAGCCGGATCGCAATGAAAGATAATGTAAGCTTTTATCTAATATTCCGTTTCGCGTTAGTAGTAATATATTTATATTGTATTAGAATATACTATCTATGGTTATCCCATATACACAGACATATTATCTCACACGGTTTACTACTTATCATGGGACGGGTTGAACATGCAATACACTACTTGAGGATTCAGACAGATTTTGATATATTAAGTTATGAACCAGTGAAGTTACGTAGAATGTTTGCTTTATAAGATGGGTTGGCGTCACCTGATCTAGAAACACAACAAATTATAGATAAGGTTTCTAGTATACTAGGCTAGTCGGATACCCTTTTTGCACATAATTCATAGATCGCCCACTGATATCAGGGGTTTCGCTGTTTTGGTTGTGTTTTTATAGTAGGCATTGATAATGTCATCTAGAATGACAATGAAAACTCTGCAGTTCATCCATTTTATTCAGAAAACAAATCACCAAGAATTGAAACAGTTCCTGAATATTTTCAGAGGTAGCTGCTGTTGTCATCTTAGCAGAGTTTTACAGCCGTTGGCTTTAGTGGGTCTAGATATGCTGAGAATATCTACCTAAGAGATATGTAGGTTTGATTACACTAGCCATTTATAGAAGTAGATGGATACACATGAAGGAAGTCTAAAAACTCGTACAAACGTAATTCTTACTTGACAGTCGTTTCTAGAAGGTGAAAGTTCTCATATATTTTTGACTTATTTCAAGCGTATTCCATATTAAATCATACATTTTAATAAATTATCAACTAATTTTAAATCTACAGCAGTGTGCTAATTAATTCTTACTTATTAGATTGAAGTTGAGAGTGTGAATCGTTAGATTCCGTGAAACATAAAGTGCCTGGGTTCTCTCATTGGTCAGTTTATCGATACGCCACCCAGTTCTCTCTGGTTTTCACTGTTATCCTAATTGGTGTCAACACATCATACATATTACCTACATATGTGTTAATTAATGTAAAATAAAATAATTTTATCGGGAGTGAGCGCGGTCCGAATTTAGACACTTTAAAAAAATGATGGTCTTGTATACACCCACGTTTATATTGATTTCTTGGAATGAGATAATTTTGAGATGACTCTGAACATTAGTAATGGTTTGATAACAAGTCAAATATATATATTGTAACCTGTCTAAAGTTACATAAAATGAACACCATTAGTCATTTAAACAGTCATCTATATTTCAACTTTAATGACTCATTGAGATCACTGAGCAGCATCAAGATATATCTCTCCAGTATTAAGCCTTCCCAGCATTCTAACTAAACTTTTTATTTACATCGAGAAAATGGCAATCTTGTAAAAGGCGCTTCGTTTAAGTATAACCAGGCCAGATATTACACTGGGGCTGAAAAATTTAGTAAGTTAACTATCTAGGGACTGGAAACAGTGTCGCTTCCAAAATAGTTCAGTTTTTTAAAGAAGAAAATATATGTACTGTTAGTCACGTTAACGCTTTAATAGTATTTGTTGAAATGATTTTCCCATACTGTCATTGCTTAAGGGGATATTTAATTTTTATTCTCTCACTTAATTACTTTTCAATCATTGGATTGTTGGTTCTTATAACATATTCAACTTATATTACTTGTATCCTTAACGTTGCATTGTTTCTTATTTAAAATATAATTGGAATAATTGACAAGATTTTACAGTGATTGATCGACTTAGTAGTAAGCAACGTCTTACTTGTCTAGTTCTTTAAGGCTGTTGATCGTTGCGATGTGGTCAACAGTCTGTGTGAATTATAATTAGATTCACTATTCTTGGTCATAGAGTAACTGTTCAAAAGTCAGTCGTTACAGTAATAACTCAGGGAAAAGATATCTTCATGTAAAACTGGGCTGGACAGATTTGAATCTCGCGAGAATCATTAGTCATCTCAATAAATAATGTAGCGTTTCTGATGAGTGCAGCTAGAAGGAAATCTACATTCAGAACTGTCTGCAAATTGCTTTCAAATGTATAAGTCTTTTTGTATTGATATAGATATTTGTGATTATTAGAACGTGACGATCGACGTTACTTTATTATCTTGTATAGTCTAGATAGATTTTTCTTTTCAACTTCATCTCTTTGTATTGTGCTTATGATATTAAGTTTACTTATTTTCCTTCATAAGTCATTTTATTTATATTTATTATAATTGGTTTTGTTTTCTTATTATTCAGATAGAAAAATTAGATTGTCAAGAGAGAAAATTTAAACGAAAAAAACGTACTAAATATGAAACAGATGGAATGTTAAGCCTAAACACAAACAAAAATAAGCCAACTAAAATCCGTACAAAATCTTCATTAAGTTCTTTAAGAAAATCTAATTCAAAAAGTACACGTCGATTAAAACATTCATTGAATGATGATGTAGAATCAAAATTGAGTATGAATGAACAATTGTCAACGATGAAATTAGAATTCGATGATATCACTAATGACGATGAAGATGATGATGTTATTGTTAATGATAATAATGATGAAGAAGTAAGAGAAGAGCAAGAGGAGAACAATGATGATGATAATGAGGTTGATGATGAAAGAATTAAACCGACAATTAGAAGACGACGTTCAAGGAAGCATAGCTCAAGTGCAAATAGTACATCAAGTTTATCACATACATCATTATGTAGTGATTTAATTAGAGGTAATGTAAAAAAACGTATAGCTGCTGTTAATGGTAATCTTATGATGATGGTTACGGCACACGCTCAAAGAAGCACTAGTTCAGGTAGTAATAACAGTAATAGTAGTAGTTCTTCTAGTTTACAAAGTGTTGACGGTGAAGTCAGTGATGATGATAATGATGTATGTTTGAATTCTTCATCAAACTCATCTGTTAATACTACGCCTTCAAAGTGTTCCACTGATCGTCACTTATCTTATTCAAGACTACAATCATATAAATCTACTTTAAAATATTTAACAATAAATTCTAATACCATCACTAATAATAATAGCCAATCATTAAATTCAAGTGATGGATCACCTGGTATTACACATTCATCCATGGATAGTGCACAGAGTGTCTATGGTGTTGGTAATGGTGATAATTTAAGAAAACCGAAAAGAACAGCTACTTTAACTGTATCATCTGGTAGTACAACTGGACCGACAATTATAACAGCAAAAAAGCCTCGTCTGTCATCTGCATCATCGTTAACAACCACGAAGACAACGATAATGACAACGACAGGAAAACCAATAAAAACGTCATCGAAACAACATCGACGTGGTGATAACGGCAAGTCAAGAACTACCATTCATAAAGAGGACGGTAATGATTCAACAGTATGTATGAAATTTAAGACAGATTTATTAGATCAAGATGGTTGTACATTGATGTATGAAAATTCTACGCCAGATGAATTGTCAGCTGCTTTAGCTGAAGAAAATTTGCAAGTTGAAGAACTGGTTGAACAACTTCCTGGGCCACCTGATTGTAAGTGATTGTAAATCACTAAAGTATATGACATTTATCTATCTACGTTGTTTTTTATTGTACTATTTTAAACTAATGTTTCATGATTTATTTCATTCATTTTAAACAGAGATATGTAGGAAGCTGTCACTTCGTGACTGCTTACACTGTGGAATGATACTTTTTCTTAAGCGACTTAAAAAGGAAACCGAGTTGGTAGTGGTCTTGTCAACCTTGGCGTTTCAATGCAGCGTCTAAGAGATAATTACTTGAGACAAGTCACACGCAGTTTTTTGTGAGTAGTGTTTGGTCTGACTCCTTCGTATTTTTATTACCTTATGGTTGGTGATGGGAATCTGTTGGGCTGTGGAATGGAGGCTTAGTGGTTAAAGTGTTAGACCTTCAACCGCTTCACCTATTACGGCTTTGGCAACTGGGTAGTATCTTTAGCGCCAACACTTGGAATTTGGCTCATATCCACATATTCAATGAATTGTTACTGTCAATTATGTTAATCTCTTTCTTCCGTTGTGGGAAGGAAGTATCACTACACATGTGGATTGTATGGGGAAATGCCACATTTTCGTTAAGCTTCAGTACATTCAGGAGCACGACTTCAGCCTAGGACCTTAAGTTTCTGCCGTCAGCTTCACTGCTCTCCATCTAACCCTCTTGGTATGACACTTAACAAGTTCGGTAGCTAATGCAGCTTGCTCAATTAAGTCATCACGATGTATAAGCCCGATAACTACATCCTAAGCAGCTACAATTTAGATTAGCTTAAACTATTTGAACTCGTTAAATGCACGTACGAATCTGTGAACTCGTTTCTGAGTCATACTTATACTATGAGAGGTTTTCAAATCGATGTAGATGGGCACTGACTTTAGAGGCGTAGACATAATATAGAAAAGTTTGGCAGTCATCAAGGAACTGTTCTGTTTGTAAATAATTTAAAAATTTTCTTTTTCTTTTCTGTAATTTCTTGAAATTTAGTTCTATTTTATACTTTTGAATTTAAACAGTAGGGATAATATTTTTAATCCGTCAAAATGGCAATTATAGATTATGAGCTTAATATATTTCCCCTATACTTCACTAATAATTAGCAAAGTGACCGATGTCAAATCAAGGAGATTTGACAACCATAAATAAATAAATAGTTCCTTAATCGTATCCTGAAATTCAGTAACATCGATCATATATTATTTTAAGTGGTATAGAACCTAGAACTCTTACATCTTTCAAATTTTACGGCTTACATTTTCGACTTGAAACAGTTCATGAGTTTTTTGTGACTTTGAGCTAGTGTTATCTCTCAGTTATTGTGCCAGTTTCTTGACTCAGTATTTCACAGGTTATGGGTCCTCTTATAAGTATTTCTGTCAATTCATTTTTTATTGGATAATTATGATTATTGTATAGTCTGGTGGAAATGTGAGTTGGCTCGAGTCACTAACTATATATTAACACAATAAGATGAAATTAATAAAATCAATAGCGAAAGAGGTCGAAATAGTGTAGTAACTAGTGATAACAAGAAGAATAAAACAGAGAATATGATTCGAAAAGACGGAGTGGACAAGTATGTATGAAGGAATACTTGGATTGAAGATGTAGAGTGAAATTAAGAACGAATGAATCTACGTCACTGCCATTCTGATTCATGTCATCCACATTTCCAACCATAGGTCACAATATTCACTTTGATCCCGACCACTCCGTTTGTATCTACATCAACATGGCTCAGATCAACAGTCAGTTCATGAAGTGTTGTCACGTCTTGGTAAGACATCTACTAGATTTCTTTCAACTTACTATTACACCAGCTCACAGTGCCTGTTGAGGTAGACGATATTTTGGCATACGTAACAAATGTCCCAACCACCTCGGTGAATGAAGATACGCAACCTTATTAACTGATTTTGAAGTGAATAGTATGTCATAATTGTAGCTGTTATTCGTTTTCACCGTTTATTTATTTATTTTTTTCAGTTTCTTCCTTAAAGGTATAACAAATTTATGCAATAGCATTTATGACTAATCTATTGATATTGTTTCTTTTTTCCTCAAAGTGAATCGAACAGCCAATAAATCACTACACTCTTCACATTCATTAAATTTTTATAAGCGAAGTCAACGTGTTTTTGTTCAACTTATAAATTGTAATGATCCAGGATTGAAACAAGTTCCGAAATGTCGTGCTTGTCGTCAAACTAAATTTTCCTACCATAATTCACCTTTAATTCATACAAACGGACAAATCGATTCAGATGATGATGATGATGATGTTGATGAAGAGAATCCGAAACTTATAATCAGTGATGTCCCTAGTCCAACCAATAATCAAAATTTTTCGAATGGATTGACTAAAGATATTCAATTTAAAAAACCACCTGGTCGAAGAACTACTCTGGCTAAAAATACCCGTAAAGAAAGTACCACTGATAAATCGAAAAATAAACGAAACGCTACACATCCATCAATGTCAGTATTCTGTCGTTTTTGGGGATTTAGAAAGTGAGTGTTGGTAAATATAGAGCTGCTTGGTTTCTCAACCATTTTCTTGTTACCAATTTTTATTCTCAGAATAGTCAATAATTTTAGTGTTACTGTGACATAATATTGATTAATGAAATGATCGAAATTAAAAACAAGTAGCAAATTGTGATTATCATTACATTTCTGTACACTAATTTGTTAAGAAATATAATATTTCTAAATAAACCTTGATTGAACTCAATAATTTTGTACAATTTAAACTGCAGTCGCACATTTGAATCTGAGACCTGGAAACTCACATTTTCAACTGGAGATTCTCAGGGATATCATGATGTCTTCTAGAAGTATGCGTCCATTTCACATTATAATATAATCACTTGAAGCCACAATAAACCTCTTGAGTTTCTTTTGTCATCTTAATTATTTGGAACTAGTTAGCTGGATTCACTTGGATTTTAGTGTTAATGTTCACAATAAGACTTTAACCTAATCAATAAATTTCACTCGAAGTGTCTAATGACTTATCCACCGAGCTACTGATTTTAAATATCTATAACCTATTAAACAGTTAATTAACTCTGACTTTTTGCACAGTTCTAATTTGAAATGTCATTTAGTTATTATTTTTTTAAAGGTATTAATTTGCTCAGAGAACTTGATCATATACAAAAAATGATGTCGGATCTAATCTATGCTAGAAAACCAATATTATATTTTACATATTATACTCTAATTACAACACAATGTAATTATCATAATGATATCTTTTTGAATCTGTAAAATATGATCAATGATGTATTTAAGCCTCGGAGACTGGTCGATCTTCGAATAGTCTCATGTCTTGCTAGGTATGAAATGAAATAAAAGTATCTGCCTACACTTCCCGGGTAACGGTCGCTATCAAGGACTATTAGTTAGTTGAAAATAGTCGAAAAGAAACCATACACCTAGGTTTCGTACTGATTGGTACTCATCGACTAGACTTATATGCCGTCTTAGGTGGGGGTAAATGATACTCCCTGTAGGATTCAAACCCTTCATATTCAGTTTTACAGTCTATGATATCGCTATTGAACTTTTCGGATAGCTATTAAAATTCTGTGGTGCATAGGCTTCTTTATTGATTGGTTATCGCCTCAGCGACTAGCCTTAATTAGCATAAAACCTAGGTTCAAACAGGTTAACTCAAAACCTGGGGTGTATGAGCTTGTAATTTGTTGAGATCAATTGAAACAGACGACCAGTTTATAACCTAATAGCTACAAATACATTATGTGTATTCGTTTGTCGAATTTGTAGTATAGGTGTCAATTATTTATCCAATTACTAAGGGATAATTTACTAAAAATTGTTGTCAAGGTTACAATAAATTCAAACATTATCAAAATCAATATTGTAAGTAAATATAATGAATGATATTGTAACATTCAAATTTTGGTAGATTTGTGTCTAGCGTGAAGGTATGTTGTTTGATGTGGGAAGAGTAGCATGCAGAGCCATCTTTATGAGAAAGAACCTGGAAGAGAAAGGAAAATGTGAGGAAAGCTGAGTCGTAAACTTATTAAGCATATAAAATGTATTTAAATTTAATAATGAAGCAACTGGCAACTCCCAACCCCATGAGATTAAGACCGGAGCAACCAGACCAAGAAATAACATTAATCCATGAATTCATTGACTGATGGTCTGAACCATGTGTGCAGATGTATATTAAATAGTTAGAATGGTTCAATATATTGGGTGATGGGGACCAAGATTATTCACAATGGCGAATATACATTCATTCTATATTTATATCTTTAATTTAAGTATTCCTTCATACATACTTGTCCACTCCGTCTTTTCGAATCATATTCTCTGTTTTATTCTTCTTGTTATCACTAGTTACTACACTATTTCGACCTCTTTCGCTATTGATTTTATTAATTTCATCTTATTGTGTTAATATATAGTTAGTGACTTTAGCCAACAAACATATGTTCCAGTCTGTACATTGATGTTGACTGCTATTATAATACATGTGGATAAACCAATGTTAAAAGTTGGTCATATGAAAAAAGCATAAAAAACTAAGGAGAATTCAGAGAAGAAAATTTTCTTTCCGACAAAATCATTTACTAAAACTCTACATTCGTGTTTATAATTATATAGTAAATACATGTCTATAAGAGGATCTGAAAGATTGCATCATAAAGCGATTCGAGACTCTAAATATCAAATGCGGTTACGTAATAATTGGGTGGGGGTTGAGAAGAATAAAAGGATGAAAATAAATTGATTTCGTCGATTCGACATCAAAGTAAATGGCGGAAAGACAACCTCATTGTGTCTCACTTCTTTCTTTACAAATGTCCCACTCACAGCCTACTGTGAGGGAGGACAAACCAGCTTTCAACTGAGGAGGAAACTAGGAGAAGATACTGGAGATGGATAGGACATATATTGTGGAAATCATTAAACTGCTTCACGAGGAAAGCTCTAACTTGGAATTCTGAAGGGAAACGGAAACGAGGAAGGCCAAGAAATAATAATTCAACGACACGTGTTACTTTAAATAAAATATTGTCACTATTCCTTTTTAACAGTTCACATAATTATTAATTTTAAAAGGATAAACATTAAAAGAATATAATATTCCCGCCATGTTTTGCTTCCCAATTTTGTTGTAACTAATAATGCATAGTTTCCATGACTTATTAATTAATTAACATAAAAATGATAATTGATTTTTTCTTTCCTTTCTATTGTTTAAAACAAACAAAATAAACACAAAATTCAACTATGAAATGGAACAAAACACCAGATTATGTTATAATCATAGAGGTGTATTGAAAATAGCTGATTTTTGTCGATCCACTGAATCCGATGCTTTAGAACGTTCATTATGGGAAATGTATCATCCAGGTAATGGACATAATTTTATTGTATGAATTGTCTCACTGTTATTGTTATTTATTTAGTTTTTTGTATGTGTGTATGTATGCCATTTTGAATTTAATGAAATTAAAATCCACACTATCGTGTTGATGTGATTTTTTCTTGTTGTTGTGTCGTATATAACAACCTTCTTTTTTAAGAAAATTCGCAAAACATTTCCTTGACATTGTGTTGTTTGTTCTAAATGGATGGTTTAATTGCAAAGTATTCACTATTGTCCTGGCTAATACCATTAGAAGTGCATAGAACAACAATCAAAGCTCAAACAATTAAACTGTTTATTTAGCTTAGTGAACACAATATAACTAAGAACACTCATATAAGCTGGAAAGCTTCTCCACTGTTTAAAAACTTATAAAACGATTTGACCTTTACAATATTTATTTGATATTAGTGACTTAGGTTTTAGGATTCTTCGATTTTCAATCATTTGTACTATAAATTCTCGAACTGTATTTCACTAGACTTTTCTGAAGCTTTGTCTTCTCTGGGTACTAATTATTGTTTCTTATTTACAAAGCTGATCCGAATCACAAGTCGAAAGTATAAACATGATACTTGACCATTGAATTTTCTTTGTCGTTAACTATTGTCAACTTGTAATTATTCAGTACATAAGTGTTATGTAGTAGATTCGATTCATTTCTGTGAAAATAATACATATAACAGTAATTTCTGAGCTTGAATGATAATTAGATAGATATGGGTGGGATCGGTCCTCAATCGTTTAGAGCAATTACTTTGTAACTGTGAAAATATTGGAATTAACCTCCATGTTCTAGATTTTTCCAAACTGAATAATTATGAACGCTAACTATATGCTTTTAAGCATCTCAATGAAACATTTACGACCATTCACACAACTTAAATACTAGTAAAGTCCAATGGAAATGCTTGATTTGCCGGCATCATCTGTCCTTTGAAGGTAAAAGAGATGAATGTATTGGAATTCATGCATGCAATCTATGATGGAGGAAGAAACCTATTTGTAGCAGTTAAACTGATAGAAGGCTTCCATGATTGAGGATGAGTGATAAACTGACAATTGAGAGACATTGATAAAATCTATATTTTTAAATAATTGAAATTTGAATGAATGTTAAAGAGAAATTTGTTGGGATATTTTACAAGTGATAATGAGAATTCGGTACTGTAACACAATTTCTAGTCTTGAAATGAAGTCATTATCACTGTTTATGTGTAAGTAGGCAGACTAATATACGAGTAAACTGAGCACTAAGTAATCTTACATTGAGATACTCTGGTCCATGTTGTAATCTTTTTTAGAATGATGTAAAATGAGAAGTTAACAGGAATTATTAAGCTTCTATCAACCGATCTCATTCTTTAATGACTATAATCCAACAACTAATCACATCTGATAGGTTGGTTAAAAAAACTAAAGAGGAAATGGTTTCTATGTTTCCATATCATCTGCTGCAATAATTGTGTTGTTTAAATCTGGGGTATTATTGACAGGGAACTTCCTTTTCAGCTAATTTAAACCATAAAGAAATGGGTTAATTTACTAGACTATCCAATTCCTCAGTGCTTTTGGAGTTATGAATGCGACTGTTTTACCGGATGTACTCACCATAGTAGGATGTTACTTTTGATGAGACCTTAAGAGAAAACTGTGTTAGTGGTGGTTTTAACGAGCTGAGAGAGTGGTCGCAACATCTTAGGGACAACTGCTTATGGCTGATCATACATGGCCTTTTTGTGGATAGTTTTAGATGTGTTAGCTCTGGATTTTTAAGGGCTTATCGCTATTGATCGAAATCTACAGGCCAAGTCAATTTTACCGCTGACCTCTTTTACTCCTTATCCTCCTATCGTGAGAAGGCAGAATCACTGTAAATTGTGGTTGTCTAAAGAAAACACTACTGTTGTCGTAACATAGTACAGTAGAAAGTACTATTTCTCCCCCGGATCGCGGGCTTAGTTTTTCCTATCTTTAGCCAATCTATCTGATATAGTAGGATCCAATGGGACGAATACTTCAGCCAATATAGATCGGATGGATTATCGTGATACTCTAACCTGACTATGTCAAGGTAGTAGAGACGGTTGGGTTTCAGGTTAAGATGCAGAACACTATAAAGACAATGAATTGATGACATTTTTCCTCAACACTGATTAGTGATCTTTTTATCATATTTCTCCACAGTCTCACCATTTTTAAGCACATGCGCTGCTAAATACATTTTGGAATGTGCTGGTGGCTTATTCTGTCGTCTTCTTCATCAAGAATTAACAAGTTTGAATAATAACCATGCTCATCAAAGTCAAAATGAAAAAATCAACTCATTAACTGGTAAAAACAGAATTAGTGGTCATACAATGGAATCAAATAACAAAAATGATGGCATTATTAATTCAGTTGCATGGAAAAGGCCAGTAAAAGGTGTACGTGAAATGTGTGATGTCTGTGAAACAACAATGTTCAATACACACTGGGTTTGTGGTAAATGTGGTTATTCAGTGTGTACAGATTGTTTGAACGAATCGAAACCATTCAATTCTGTAAGTGACAGCAATTCGGATACACGTGATCATGTGAAATTCAATGAAAATAGTACAGTGGAAAAAAAAGGCAAATTAAAATACTTAAGAGGTTTGTAAGACAATTTTTTTTGAAATTTTATCTCTTTGCCATTATTTTTTCTCATGATCCTAATTCTTGTCATAATACCTAATTAAATAACAAGTTGTTTATTTGACCTAGAGGTAAATCACTGATTAAAGTGATTGATTTCGTTTGGGAATGTAGACTGTTAGATGGTGTTAGATAGTGAGATCTCCGCAACACTTTAAGTTTCTCGGTTCAATCCCTTACAGAGTTATGTGAATATGGTTGTGTTTCATGAAGCAGCCGATTCAATTGAGTAGGCTATATGCTGTTTTTCTTCACTGATGGACACTAGTTGGTGAAATAGTTAACAATCCGTACTGTACAGTTGTTTTGGCCTCAACAATGGGCACCCATGAATCAACAAGAAACCCAAATCGAACCTCCACGAATCCTCATTGAGTGGGTTACTTTCAGACCACTGAGTTGCGATTTAGTGGTCCATGTTGTCTTCTTCAGTCACTCAATTTGTTGAGTATATTTCAGGGACTCTATAAATTAATTGTCTTGCACAACTTCGGTTAGTGTAGTTTTATTGGCTAAAAGTGTCAACGTCTGAATTTTAGCCAGGTAATTTTGACTTAGAGAATTGGATGTATTTTCTTGCAATTTAAAATTATTTAAACACTCATACATGATTATATAGTTAATCTTTCAGTTTACATTGCGGATTGGCTGGATAGATAATCACTGGAAACCGAGAAGCACTGAGCAATGCATATCCGTGGTTGCTGAGTATCATGGATTGGCTAGAGCTATAAGTGTAAGCCTTTAGATGTCACCCAATGATCTAAAGGTCAAACGCTCCTTGTGAGGTCTGCATGTCCCGGATTTGACCTCTTATGTGTTTGTGGACGTTCATTACTTAGGAGTCTTATTCAAGGACGAAACAACTGTCTAGTGCTCCCCACCTTTCAATGGCTAACTAGCTACAGTCAGACCGTGATGTAAACTAGATAATCCAACAGTCACTGGAAACTATGAATAAAGGTTTGTAATTTCTTGGTGTTTGTAATTAGGATCGCAGCTAATAAGTCTCTTGAGCCATGTGTACATCCTGAGTGAATTATCTCATTACATTAATAGTTTATGTGTAAACACCTACACTGGAATGTAGTACACGCACCTGACGAGCTCCAGATAGGATGAAACACTTGTCCTGAATCTTAGTGGTAGCCAAATACTAAGTACAAGGTAATATGATAAACTCATTATTATTCAGATTATTCACAATATTATTATTATCATACCGGTGTCGTTTCTCTTTTGTTACAATAATTTCTCAAGGTCGTGGTTGCCCATATGGTTGGGCATCGTGTACTACTACACGTCAACCTCATGATCCAAACAAGCTGTTATTGACTTCTCTGTTACCGTCTGGTATTATTGGTCGATTACTTCATCGATTGCATCGCATAGCGAACTATTATAAAATTAATTTAGGCTGTAATTGCTCTCCTTCCTCAACAGTGGGTAATGATGCAACAGATTCATCAAATGATACATTATTATTCATGAAACCAATGAAATCATTGAATAATCGCGAATGTTTAGATCGTAATTCTCTTGATTTACTAGCTGATATTGCTTTGAAAACTGATATGGGTAACACTGGACCACTTACTGCTGGTAATAGTAATAACAGTAGTAACGGTACTGTAGATAATGTTGTTGTGGAAACAGAATTTAATGCTTCACGTAATAATCCTTCTTCTATAACAACAGATAATGGGATCAGTTTATCAGACAATAACAATAATAACGAACGTATGATGATAATGATGGATTTTCCATCTCATAGTTGGATTCATTCCAAACGAAGGCATATTAATCAAAGGTCATGTTGTCAAAAAATGAATGATTCAGCTAACATCACTAATACATGTACTATCACTGTTAAACATAAAACGAAGCATAATGATAATCATAGATTTGATTTTCACAGAGAATCAAATTTGAAAATTTATCAACCTTCAGAAATAATCAATCGTCATCATCATCACAATCCCGTTTTCTTACGTTTACATTGTCCTGATTCCATTGGAAATTTATTGGCGTTCCAAGTGAGTATTGTTTTCGTGCAAATATATGTTGACAGTAATTAATAGCTGTATTCATTTTTTGATGTTCAATCGTTTCTTAGGGAAAAACACTAGAATCATTCTCTTGTTTTAATTGAGCTGCATTGTAGTTTACTGAAAAAGATGCGATCAAATGTATGGTTAGTGGCTGAATCTCTTGTAACTCAAAAGTATTTAAGTCAGTAGTGGCCTTACAGACGATTTTTATCACACAATGTATGTACATATATGTTAGATAAGTTATTTTATGATAAATATATTTTACCATTCAAATCACTAACTGATCATAGCTAGACCACCTGGAGGGTTGTTTCATCCTAGCGTGGTATTCCTTTGTAGCGCGAATCCATGACTTCACACCCGGGAACTGATCTGAATATCTCTGGTTTCATGCGCAAACACTCAACCACTGAGTTAGCATCCGAAGGTGTTAATGAGTAACTTTAATCAACATACGATATTACGCAACCCACATCTAGCTAAGATCAATTCGTGGTTTAATCTATGAGAATTTCGAAATCTCCAGAAATTCCCTTATATTAATAATGATAATGTGTTCACTGGTGACCAACTTTAATATAAAACTCTTGGAGTTTTAGTGAGAAGGCGTGACGAATGTAATTCAACCATGTCATGTGTGAAACAGTTGTTCACCGTAGGGAACGAATTAGGGTTTCCCAGTATCGTAAACTGATTGAATTTAGATTGTAAACCATTGGACCCTTGCTCAGTCGTCCAGAGGTTAAACGTTTGAGCGCGAGATCGAAGATCTTGGGTCCAGTTTCTGGATTTTTGGTTTATGCGCTGCTGAGGAGTCTTATACTAGGATGAAACAGTTGCCTATTGCTTTCAGGTTTTCAGTGGTGTTTTAGTTATGTTTTATTCGCAATTTAAACTATGAAAATACTTTTATCCACAAAAATCTCCCCATTTTAATTTTTATGTTCTGTATCTTTTTCCGTCTAATTTAAGACTAAAACTGGACGTAAACGTATTTTTGAGATTGTCTAGCTTCCGAGTATTCATTGTTTAGTGATTATGTCATGATATTCTCATTAAGAAGGCTAGTCGGTAACTAACGTGATTATAATAGAAAGTATTAGTAAATTGAAACCAATTTACAAAATAAAAACAAGCGAACGGTTCCTAAAGCAGACTTTTTTTAGTTTGTGTTACTTTGATTAAACCGTAGTCAAATATCAAATTTAGTAACTTAAGCATATAGTCTATGTGCTAAGATGAAACAATTATATTTCCTCATGGGTACGTTCTTAATCTTTCTTCTTCTCTCAATGATTCTCCAACCAGCTGACGAGAAAACTATCCCCTAACTGTATAAATCTTAGCAGATACCAAAGTAGAATACTTATGGACTTAATATTTAGCCTGTATTGAGTAACGCTGATTAGCCAACAAATTTCTATGAACAAAACTTATAGTCCGTTGGCTGCTATTTAGAATTAAACTTGTTCTATTGAAATCGAATTCGCCTCGATGTTAATCAGAACAACTTCTGCATGATTTATTGTCACCTTAATAAATGCATGGAGTGTCTGTAATCTGCTCAACTAATTCTTTGCAATGAAAATATATATTGTTTAATTTTATCATATATTATTATATACAAATATCTGTACACGGAAAATATGTAGATGAACAAAATAAATAATAAACACACATACATAGATACATACCGAAATGCATACACATTCATGAATGCATAGATATATATAATTTGGCAAACAGTCATTGCGGATCAGCTGATGTAATTATTATGTCTGTTACCAATAGTGTTATAAATGAATCTTGATATGATAGATATCTACATGTGTATACATACATGGCAGACCTGTTAATCTTTTTCATCAATGCAGTACAATAATATACCTTGGATATCGATCAATTAATCAGTAAACTGATTCAACATTATCATTATATGTTTCTTCACCAGGGGTTACTACTTTAATTTATTTAAGCTGGAAGAATGTGAAGTTTCTGAGGTGAAATAGTAGTAAATAATGGTGATAATAATGATAATGATTTTAGACGTAAAGTGACTTATTACGGCTATTGTCGATATCTCTAGCTGCTTCTTCTCGTGGCGACGATTATGTTGATGATGTTTAAGACAATAGAACCTTGCAATACTTATGAATTTTTGTAGGAATCTGTTAATAAATCGATATATTTTCATTAAGGGGTGCTTTTTCTTACTCATGGAGTACTGAATATCAGTTTCGGATTGTTTTGAAACGTTCTGTTGGATAGAACAAGGGACTATAGACTATAGAATCTTGGATTAAGCGAGGTGACTATAATCCACAAGTACACATTTCTGGATATTTGTTCAGGTGTGTCCATTCTCCATTGGCTTATCATGAAAAATTATAGATTTCAACTGAGGATGAGAACCCAATTAGTTCACTGGGAAGTCATTTACACCGATGATCAGATGGTAACTTGATCAATAGATTTCAATCTGAGCTAAGGATTATAAAAACATGCCGTGTATTCAATGTGCTTAATCCAACTACCGCTTACCTCGATGTGCGGTGTTTGCCAGTGCATATCGTAAAATAGCTGGCTGTGGCCAAACCAAGACATGGGTTTATCTTATGAAGTCATCGGCTATCGGCTTGAACCCTATACTTGGGTTTAGTCTACCTGGTTGGGGTTTGATCTATTATTGTATTCAATAGTTGCAGATATTCAATGAGACGGTCCACAGTGGCGCAGATGCATTCACTTTGTCTTTTACTTGTTATTCAGTAATTTCATTTTTTCTCCACGAGTACTATTGTCTGTGGATGACCTTTTTTATTACCAATAATACTTTTACTATTTCTAATGCTCTGGCATTTGTCTTGATAATTTGCTATGCTAATGGTGTGTCAATTTGAACCCAATACATATAAATGTACCAAGCTCTACATTGCTTATATCTGACAAAACCGACTTGCTACCACTCAATGAAATATCGATATGACCATAAATATTCAATGCTACAAGTATTTGCTATGTACGTAAAAAGAAAAGAAACCCTTTTTTATGCTGTAATACCTAAAAAGAATTAAAATACTTTATCGATTTTATTACTTCTGAGCTATTACGATTGTTGCTGTAGTTTTCGCCAAAGAAAAAAAATATGACTGAAATCAAAACACAGTGAGCATTCGCCTGTATTGTTTATTTCTTTTTGAAAAGAAAACAAACAACATAGTTCATACCATTACAACAATTTCACTTTGCATTCTCTCATTTTCTCATTCATGCATGTCTTTTATTAAATTAAATTAATCAACTTACAATGTTTTGGTTAAATTAACAACAAATTTTGTGTAATCAACTGTGTCCGTTTGATGTGCATTATATCTTATGTATATACCTGAGTATAAATCAATGCGATTAGTTGTCTTTTGAAATCATCATAATTGGTCTAAACACGTTAAAGAATAGGGAGAAAACGGTCTCGTTTTTGGTCTGTACATGAGATGACCATAAATGAGGTAATCCTATCTGTTCCTTTTTTGGTTGAGTTAACATTTTGATAATTTTTCTTCAGACCACGAACCGATCAGTGTAAAACCACCATTGAAAACCTAGAAGCACTGGATGACGCCCCAGCAGAACGCATTCACGACCCCGCATGCAGGGCTCAAACTCATAACATTCAGTCTTGTGAGCGAACTCAACCTCTAAATCACTGATCCGGCATTCGACGGTGTCAATGTTTAACTTCACGTAATATCGGGGACTGGTTGAAGCAGCCTGATCATAGATGTGCACTACTAAGTAGTCCCATACTAGGACAAAACGGCCGTCCAGTGCTTCCAGGTTTCCAGTGGTGGTCTGACATTGATCGGTTCATGATTTCAATATAAACTCAACAGTCTCCACAACCTCTTTGCTGATCATCGTGATAATTTTTGACAATAATTATTTAATGTGGTTGTCTGTAAAAGAAGTTTGAAAAATGGTTTGTTAAGTAGTTATAGATAATGTAAATTCTAGCACAAGTGTATATTTCAGTTCAATTTACCAAAACGTCCCTTCTCAGAAATGCAAGAGAAGGGATTCAATGAAATGAAGTACAAACAATTAAAAAATGGCCTATAATGAATTTTAGTGGAAACTTCGAAACGAAGATAGTTGGTTAGAAGTCAGACAAATGAACCACTGATCCAAAATTCAAGCTTTCGCCACGAGACCTGAAGGCCTTTGGATCGGTCTTCTATGGAGTCATGGATGTACACTTCTGAAAATTCTAATAGTAGGGCGAAACAGCTGTCAGTGTTTTGTGGTTTTTACTGGTTAACTAACTGAAGCCGGTTCGTGACATCAACAACAATTGCAAAATAAAGAGCATGAAATAATTTTTAAATTCTAGATGTAGATGAAGATTAAAAAAACGAACTGAACACATGAATCACTGGCAACGATTTGCAGTCATATTATTTATGCTTCCGATCATAAACTATATTTTTACGTACATCCTAACCAAGAAGATCAGTTCTCTCTAACTCCTCAGCCCATATTTGGAGTACTGCTTGAGTATGAGGGCGGTTGTTACTTCGTGTTAGCCCATATAGTTGAAGAGTAATTATTGAAGGATCTAAAAAGAAATCTGATCTTGTGCTGTAACTGCTGGACTCAATAGGTAACTGCTTGAGGCTTATTACACACAGCCTTTATATGAATAGTTTTTGGTGTGTTACCTCCACAATTTCAAGAGCTTGTCACCAGCGAGGAAAATCCGTGGGATACGGTGAGGTGTTCTGTGATCAACTTTTTACATCTTCTTACTTCCGATGTGAGAAGGCAGTTTCACTATAACTGTTGTTTGTATAGGTGAAAGGTTCCTTTATCGTCACAATCTATTACAGTCGGGGGCTCAGCTTCACCCTTGGACTTTAGGTTTTTTGCTTTAAGACCGATAGTAAATGGCTCGGATTGATGTCATATTTTGGCGATAGTGTAGATCAGTAGACTAGAATTCGTGTCACCGTATGTTATTGTTCTATTCATTGCGTATTATCGTTTATTGATGTTTATTTAGATTCTTTTTCAAAAGTTCGGAACCTGTATTAATTATATTTACCATTTATTTTTTCTATGTAGATGGTAGGTCAAATTTACAATGTATCAATAAGGGAATTGCATAATTGTGAAATATGTTTATACTGTGTAATATTGGTTTAATTTTCAAAATGGGTCAATTGTATTTTCTGAAATGTATAAAAAACGGCTAATCCATCAATTTATTTGCTAATCAAAATATTTTTAAATAATGTAGTTTTGTAGGTAAAATGGATGCTTTTGGTAGTACTTTGTTCTTTGAAGTACACGGTTTAATTGGGAAGCTTTCATTATCATTCTGGATAACTTTATCAGCTTCTAATTCATGTAGTTGTATAGGCTGATGATTTCTGTTTAGAGACGCAATGAAAAGTTCACAATAAAATTATCAGCCTTATAAAACACAGTACCACTTAATAGTTAACATGTCTTATCACAAAATGGTATAAAATACAATTTACTTTTAAAAACTAGAAACTAATCATATTGATCAAATGAATAGTGTTGATAGTTTGAAGCTTTTTCTGTTTTTTCTTCAATGTAAAGGTAAATAACTGAAATATCAATTACACCAATATACACAAACACAAACACACGTATACATCAATCTTAGATGTTTAAACGCTTACGACGAATGTAATATTCATTCCCAATTGTTGTTCATAGGCGACATTTTTATCTATTTGACCATTGTCGCCCACCTCACTTGTATAGGTAGCGTTCATGCAACAATATGTAAAGTATGTTGTGTGATATTTTTAAAAACTGTGTTATCAAGCTTTGATGTCAATTTGACAAGACAATTTTGTTTTTCTTTTTGTGGAAAGTTACTCCTCGTTGATGTACTTCTTCGTTTTGTCTATTATATCTTTCTTAATACATATTACTTTGTATGGATTACACATTACTTGCCTTATATTGTGTTTACATATGTGACTAAAATATTTTGTTTTTTTTCGTATCATTTCGTTTTTCATGTTCTCAAATCTCTGTCTTCTAGTCCGAATGGAGACGTAATCATCCGCTTGTTATATCTGGATGTCAACGTAAATTTACCCAAGAATTATGGACTCCACAAAGTTTTTCAAATGATTTTGGTGATATGAAAACTACATTAATTGATTGTGCCACGGGTGCTGAAATAACACGTTATACGTTAAAGTCATTTTGGGATGGTTTCGAAAAACGTGAACGTAAGTGTTTGTTTGTTTATGTGTGTGAGTGTGTATTGTTAAAAAATTTTTTAATGTAAAACAAGAATACTGGTTTACTTATACATAGTGCTTTAAAGATCAATAAATGAAAACTATGTCCATATCCATCTCTTTCTGACTGCTTTTCATGTATGTAGTTATCGTAGGCATATTGAGTGATCATTGAATAATGCCAAATATCCTGTTTGTTTAGTCCTCTAATGTTGCTGATCAAATTCTATCGATCAAGTTGCAATGCGGTTACCAGTCTAAGTGACTCAACACTGCGTAAAATAGTTGAGATGTCACATAGTTGGCGATAGTCGATAAGAAACCCTTTTTGAATACTGAATTAAAAAGGTGTAAAAATACCAATTAACTAACTTGTGATGAATGCTACTGATATCGATAGATATAAGTAGTATGTATCACCAATCGGTAGTGAAATGCCTGGCGGCAGAAGGTTAAGAAAATAGAAAAGAGAACATGAACAGAGAATGGTTGGTGTGAAAACGAAGGAACAATGAAGTCTGGGACTATTGATTGATATTTTGCAAATGAAGTATTTACTACATTGAATTAATTTTTCTGGTTAGCGTTTATTTAGCGAGTTGGTTTTCTACGGGATGGGGTTGCTAACCCCATGCCCAACCCTCCTCCTTTACCCGGGCTTGGGACCGGCAGTAACTCTAGAAGAGCTACAGGTGGAGTTATTTACTATCTGGTTCTTAGATTTTACTAAGACGTCCTGTAATTTCATATTCAAATACATTTGGTTGTCCCCACTTGTGTTCTCGTTCACTACAAACTAACTAAATATCTCTTCCATTTCACGATACAATCATGCCTAATCGATTCAATCTTTAACATAAAATTCAATTTATAATTATGTCGTTTCTTTTATTTCTAAGAGTATTAATCAATAAAGATTTGTTTTCTTTTATTCTCCAGTCTGTTGTTATGTTTCAGGAGAAAACAGACAGATAGACAAAGATACATAGTTAAATAATAACAGATCATTGAGAGAAGACTGTTAGATTGATACATGATAGATAAACACACAGAAAATGCAGTATGGAGAAAATCCTATTAACATATATACTGAGAAAATTATTGAGACGAATTTATTTTTAACGAGTAGAGGATAAATTAATTTAAGATTCATATATTTGGATTGCAGGTGTACTGTACTTAAGAGTTTCCAGTTATGACGCAACAGAGGTGAACAGTGCTCACTGTCAATACAGTGGTGGAATGGCCAAGGGTTAAGACATTCAAATTTCCAGTCCGTCCTAATTCAGTTTAAACATCCGGGAAGTATCACTTACCCTCACATATAAGTTGCTATTTCTCACTAGCTAATGATTACATGGAAAATTATTTCGAGAATCTGAATTTATCCGCATCTATCTGACATGAACATTCCACTGTGACACAGCACAGCACCCACCATGGAAAACAGGAAAATCCAGTGAGATTTACAACTTCAGAACCAATCTCCCACTTCTACCTACTCCGGTTCAATCATTCGTGAATAGTAACATTAGTATCCACTGTAAAAATGAAGTGTAGCTCATAGCTAAAGAAATAGGTTTATACTTCATGAAAGTAAATGAAAATTCCCATTTTGACATTTGGTAAATAAAGAAGTAACCAATTGAAAAGAAATTTCTTCGCTCAATTCGTTCCTTCTTTATTTACTAAAGTAAATGAGTTACATTATGTAACATAACTACTGAATAATCAGTTAATTTTCAATAATTTTCTTCAAGTAAATAACTCTCCAGAATTTCATCGACATTCACTAATAATTTTTTATTTCACTGATTAATCAGTAGACGTGATTATGTTTTCGTTTTAGCAATTTATGATTTGTGTGTGCTTGTTCGTTTTTTTTTCTATCTCGCTCTCTCTCCTACTATTTGTTTATTAATTAATGTGAATGAATTAATTCATTTAGAATAGAATTGAAATGATTAACTGATTACTAGATTATTATTATAAGTCAATAAATATTTTTACAAACTGGTTCAGTAGTTTACTTTGTTCCATTGTGATGGACTATTTTAACTATTAGAAAATTGTATTGTGTGATCTATATTGTATTCAAGTGAAATAGTGATACTATTACCACTTTATAACTGAACAAGAACTGGTGTGACTCGGTGTAAGGGAGAAGACAAGGCTGTAGGTGAAGATGCATTAATCACTGGTTTTATCAGTGACTTACAAACTAGTTAAAAATGATATAAAAATATACAGTGAGATATATATGTACTCCATTTTCTGAATATCTGATCAACAGTCAAACTTTGAATATGTCTAATTGGAAGTGGTTGATACTAGTTTTGTCACGACCTCTGAGCAGTACACAATCAAAACCTTGAGAATGCATGAAACAAGGAGCTGTACAAGTCGCGATAATCATATTACACTAAAACCACCGCCTCTTTTGGATCCAATAGACCATATTTTTAATACCTACCAGTTCATAAATTAACACTAGATTTTCAGTGATTCCATAATTTCTATTGGTCTGTGGCGAAAACTAAATTTAACCTTAAACTCTATACTACCTTGTACACATATCATAAGCACGTCTTTAAATTTGTCCGGACGTGCTTTTCTCGGAAAAAGTATATTAGTTCGTATAGTAGTGTTTATTTGCGTTTCCGTCACTTTGTATGTGCGTGTGGTGTGTTTATACTTTTTATTTGTTTACATTTCGAGAGTATATCACTTTCATTTGTAAGTGCTTTTGCTTTTCTACGGTTGTTGATGCTAATGACTTCAACTGATTAGTCTATACTATCATATATACATCCTGAGCGGACTGCCTCGATATTCTCATTTAGTCACAAGCATTTTAAATTGAATTTGAATTATGACTTGCAGTGGAATTGAAGATAAGTGTATTTTTCTGTTTGGAATTAGTTAGCTGGATTCACTTGGATTTTAGTGTTAATGTTCACAATAAGACTCTGACCTAATCAATAAATTTCACTCGAAATGTCTAATGAGTTATCCACCGAGCTACTGATTCTAAATATCCACAAATTTGTGCAACAGTCACGGATTTTATTAGTAAGACTAAATTTTCTCGTTATAGGTGTTCAAAACACTAATCCCTTTTGGACAAGTTAGTAACTACCAGAAATCAGTTACTTACTGGATAATGTGTTAGACATTTGAAGCAAAACGTGTGGGGCTAGAGTATCAGTCAGTGTAAACATCAACACTAAGATGGATACAGATGCATTCAGCTGACGATTACCAAGTGGGATCATACCACTGTCAGACTCTATTCAACGTTATGTTCTATTTTTATTATCTCACATACATGTTTTCACTTGAATCTGTTCTATTGCATATTATTTGTGATTATTAGAATCTCTGTTGTCATAAATTCCCCTCTCTATTATTATTCATGTTAGAAATTTCTTTAAACGTATGAATAAATAATAGTGAAAGGTTTGGAAAGGGAAGAACAGTTAAAAAAGGACCAAATGATCATATATAACTTTTTGCTCCGAAGCTGAAAGAAGACAACTTTATTGATTTCATCAAGTTAACACTACTAATTACTATGTCACATTAATATTCTGTTCTGAATATACACTCCCTGTCCAAATATTAGACTGTGCACATAATAAAAATAGAATTTTATTTTTTATTTTGCTGGTTATATCTTATTCCTTTCGTTCGATTTTCTTCCCCACCCCACTCCAACACCGAAAGCAAAGAGGGAAGTAATTTATTCTACAAGTTATATTTGATAATCAAATTTTAATTTTCTAAAAAAGAACCCAATCGGTAGATAAATAGTAGTTGCTGCCAATTCGTTTTTTATTTTCATGATAAGTGTTTTTAATCAAAGATGAGTTATATTAATGCATAATGTATATGTTTATCTATAGAGGTGGAGAAAAATTTATATAAATGAGTATTTTTTATGTTTGTTCGCACGTGCTCATCCGCTGGCCCATCTGTATTTGTTTATTTATTTGTTTGTGCTTATAGAGAAGTAAACGTGATTGTAAAATGCATCTTTTGTCTTTAAATTAGCACTTATGTAAATATGAATTGTCTTAATGTTGTCTTTTCGGAAATCAAAATGCTCTGAACTAACTCGTTAGAATCTAAAAAAATTAATAAATCTATAAATGACATTACAACAAGTTTGTACTTACTTACTTACGCCTGTTATTCCTCGTAAAGGAGCATAGGCCGCTCATCAGCATTCTCCATCCCACCCAGCTTGTGCTTGGACTTTCTCTGCTCGTGTTCGGCTGTTGTTAACTGCTGCCTTCTTGTTCTTCCTTTCTTTGATCTTATCCAGTGTTTCTATAGAGAGACATTCCTTATGATGGTGTTTCTTTAGACCCAGAACCTTTTGACACGTTGAAGTTAATGCTTTTTTGATACCTTTCCAGTTATCCTCCATAGTAGTTTCTTCTTCCTTCAGTAGATCTTGTAAGGCTTCGAACCTGTTGTTGAGGGCTATCTTGAATTCGTTGAGTTTGTCAGTATCTCAAAGGAAGGCTGTATTGAACCTTTGTAGTGCTGTTTGTCCACTTGTCCAGTTCTTCTTTAGCTTCAGTTTTAAATTGGCCACAACTAGGTGGTGATCTGAAGCTATGTCAGCTCCTCTACTGGTTCTCACATCTTCCATTGTTCTTCCGAATTTTTTATTGAGTCAAATATGATCTATCTGGTTCTCTGTAGTGTGGTCCGGTGAGATCCATGTAGCTTTGTGTATACGCTTGTGTGGAAATATTGTGCCTCCTATGACCAATTTGTTGAATGCGCATAGATTTGCAAATCTTTCTCCATTTTCGTTTCTCTCTCCCAGTCAATCCATGTCGTCCCATGATATCTTCATATCCAGTGTTGTCTATTCCGACTTTGGCATTTAGATCTCCCATTAGAATGGTGAGGTCGTTTGTTGGGCATTTCTCTATGACTGATTGATCTTTAATGTCGTCGTTGGTATCATTGGTGGGTGCATAACATTGGATAATATTCATTGTGATCCCCTCCTTCTTTGTTTTGAATGATGCTTTGATGATTGTGGATCGGTGAGATTCCCATCCTACAAGTGCATTTCGTGCTACTTTGGATAGCATTAGAGCGACTCCCTGAGTGTGTGGAGCATTTTCCTCTTCGTGACCGGAGTATAGCAGCATCTCTCCTGTAGCTAGCCTTTTCTGTCCAGCTTGGGTCCAATGGGTTTCACTGATTCCCAGTACTGCTAATTTGTATCTCCTCATTTCCGTTGTTATTTGATTGGTTTTTCCGGTTTCCCACATTGTTCGGACGTTCCATGTACCTATAAAAATTTTTGCTCTGTTTGTTAGAAGGGGCATCGGCCTCGTGGCTTCCGAAGGAACTTGGCTTTCACCATGAAGCGTCATAATTCTTTTAAATGAAGACCTTCTAACTCCCAGGGCAGAGTTTAAATGGTTTAGATTATTTTTTCTGGTAATCGTTTTTGTAGCGAGTTAGTTTTCTACGGGATGGGGACGCTCACCCCATGCCCAACCCTCCTCCTTTACCCGTGCTTGGGACTGGCAGTAACTCTAGAAGAGCTACAGGCAGAGTTACAACAATTTTGTAGTTTACGGTATTTAAACAAATTATGTTTGATAGTATTGATACGGTAAATAATTGATATAATAATCAATTAGGTAAGAAAAATTTGGGAAGAGATAATAATAATAATGATAATAAAGTTGGTGCACATATCTGTTTATTCAGTACTGATTCACATACATTCTACTCCATACCTAATGATATGACTGCAACTGTTTTAACTACTAGAAAATGTGTCACAGAGTAGGATTACGTAACCATATAATTTTCGTAGTTCACATCAAGAACTGATCTTAGGTAGCCAGTGAATGCCAGGAAGCACTGAAAAACTGATTCTTTTTAGTGTGGGAATCCTCAGCGGTGCCTATTAACAACTTTGCGTCCGGAGGCCCTGCTGAGGGCCTCCGGTTTCGCATGCGAACGCTTAATTTCTAGACCACTGAGTTTGTATCTGACGGTGCTATTGACTAACTTTATTCAACTAACGATATTGTACAACACCCACCCATTGCCTGTGGTGAATAACTGTTCAACATGGTTGAAGTCCATTGATCAAGGCCTCTTCCTGGAACTCTTGGAATAACATCTCGAAGTTATCTAGTAGTGAAAAAAAAGATTATTATCAGTGTAGGGCGGTTCCTTTCCATATGGTTGAGCTGTTTAACCAGTAAGCTACAGAACAATATTTTGCTAGGATAAATATGACTTATTTTTGTTTACATTGTGATAATCACTGTTTTTGGCTTTGTTTACACTTTGTAAAAGATGTCTTGAAGTGACACTATAGCATATCAGTTATTAACTTACCTATTTATTTTGGCTTTTATTGAAAATTATAGGTCGAATCACTAGTAAAGATGGCCGTCCACTTTGTTTAAAGCTGAAAGATTGGCCAACTACAGATGATTTTGCTGAATTACAACCGAAACGTTTCAATGATCTAATGTTAAATCTACCAATGCCAAATTATACACAACGTGATGGACAATTGAATTTAGCTGCTAGATTATCATCATTTTTCGTATGTCCCGATCTAGGTCCAAAATTATATGTGGCTTATGGAACAGTCGGTTCTTGTTCTGTAAGTATACAATCTTTATGCTTTAACGTAAATATTTCATTAACTTTTACAGACAAGGAACGATATCACATTATTCAGCGTCAATTGCTATTCTTATTTTATTTAAATATAAACACTTAAGACAAAAGTGTACCCGTGAATGCCGACGCAACAGTCCTAATGATTGAGCATTCGCCACGAATTGAGTGGGTTATTAGTTCGACTCCTGGTGGGTTTTTTGTAGCGCATTGCTTGAAGTGTCCCATACTAGGACAAGACATTTGTTCAGTGCTCCATAATTTTCTATCTCACTCTCACTAGTGTCGCCCTGTGGTGAAAGCTCCCCAAAAAAATATTTTTGTTTGTTTTATTATGACAACTATGAATTCGGATCAGTCATATATGGATTTTGTGGGTTGTCTTTTTGTATGTACGTGTACTTGTGTGTATGTAAAAGGCAAACTTCTATTATGTGTTGACTTTAAAATAGAAGGAATCAATTATTAATAATCTCTCTACTTTCTTTTGACCTCATTGAGTAAATTAAAACAGATGTCTATCAATCATTTTTTCCATATCATTCAACCAACAAAATCAAGTACTTAAACTCAGTGTTCCTCCATGTTGGGAGATCGAAATTATACGAATGCCAAATGTCCAAATCTTTGTTTAAATTAATTTCTTATCATTACTTATGCTTTGTTGTCGCCATTATTGTTACGACAAGATGTGAATTTCAGTCGAACTTATAGCATAATTGGTCAATTTATTAAACGTTACATAATCTAGTTTTTGTTTTGTATGCTACAAAATAGTATCTGTCTATCACAATGTGGACTTGAATCTAATTTTCATTGTACATGTATATTTAATCTCTTTGTTTATGTCTGCTCCATTAAACATTACCCTGTATGTACGTATGTATGCTGGCATACGTATGTGTATTGATGTGTGAATTATATGTATGTGTGATTAATTCCAAATTGGCCGGTTTCATTATGGATAGATCGATAGATGATGATGATGATATTTAAAATACCTGTTGGCTTTGTTCATATCTTTTTCTGTTGCTGCTGTTGTATTGATCATCATATCTAAATGTTGATTTGAAACAGTATCGTTGAAATTATGTTTTGCTGTGTATTTTTTTGGAATGACGAATACTATTATTTACTTGTATTGATGTAACGTTAGTTAATCTGTAGAAAACAAGGCACAAAATAGAATTTGGCCAAAAAGTATTTTGCCTTGATGTTTATTTACAGATTGTATATCATGAAAAAAATATTTCTTTTATTAAAACTGAATAATGGATAACAGTAAATTATAAGACGTATGTCTCGTCCCATTTAGAAATTGTCATTTTGATGTACCTGGAGTTGAATCCAGAAACTTTCGCTTTAAATCATAATATATTATATATTGAACTATTGAGTTCAAATGTAAGCCCATCCACATAATTATCAGTATTAGTTGCCAGTTCGGTTTCCTACTAAAATTAGACAAGGATAAACCATTGTATTGGGTTTTCTAACCATGTGTTCTTTGCAAAATTTAACTAATTCATTCATAAATTTCTTGTACCAGTGATATCTGCTCTATCATTGCAATACAGACATTACTCGTGTTTTTTTGCCTATAGCTTGGCTGAACTTTTTAATTGTATCACATATTTATTCTCTTCCTAGACAGTATTATCAGTAGCAGCCCGAAAATTTTCCCCAACTTGACCTTAACTTACAATGGTATATAAATAACAACTTGTATTCAGGTTTTTTCGCCCAACTCTTGTCACCTTCACCTTCCAGCATATGCTTACTTACTAGCCTAATTATGCCAGTTACTCCAGATACAGCATCAGTCCCCGATCAGGAATCTCCCACGTACTCTGTCATAGGCTCTCTTTTTATGTTGTTCCCAAATGCTATTTATTCTTTTGATTTTCGCCTTAAATTCCCAGAGCGATATGTTCTTCGGTTCCCCTCTTTTCCTTTTTCCTTGGAGATCCCAATTTAGGGCTTGTTTTGTTATTCAGTTTGATGGTTTCCTCAATATGTGCTTTATACACTTTCAGCGTCCTTTCCCAATTTCCTCCCGTATAGAGAAGTGTTCATAATTACTTGTACCGTTTTTTTCGATAATGGCTGTAGTAGTTCTCCATATTTCAGCTCTACACAACGAAATTGTCTTTTCCTTTGTATCGTAAAATTCTGACTTGGACGTTGGCAACAGACATTTGTTTTGAGTTCTAGACCAACATCACATTTAGACTGATTTTACCTATTTTTCTTCTTGTTTCTTTTACTTTTGTTTGCAGATTAGTACAACAAATTTGCACGTAGATATAGCTGATGCCGTAAATGTTATGTTGTATGTGGGACAACCGACAGATTCATTGAATGAAATGTTAACTAATGCTGAATCAATTGTGAACACATTAACAAGTGCACATATTGATGATAATTATTTAGAAAGAGTTTTAAATTGGTTGAATAAAATTAAATCACACCAAACTGATGCACATGCTAATGACAGTAATAATAATACTAACAGTAACAATATTACTACTACTACTACTGCTACTACTACTACTTCTCCCACTACTTTTATTTCTACTACTCATGAAACTAACTCTGAAGGTAGGTTATGCCATTATTCATTTGTGAACATTTCATATTCATCAAATCACTTATATTATAAAAAATTGATGAATGTAGTCTACTAGATACCTAAGCACTTTTTTAAAAGTCAATAGTAGTTGTTTTGATGTCAATGTTCGGTATTATGAAAATCTGTATTTAATGTTGGGTGGATAAAAGCAGAGAATCCTTGGATCTAGACTTTTTGGTAGTTGACATTAGCTACCAGGAGTGTATCTGAAATCTTCAGGAAACTTATACTCTTCGTTAGATTTGAATCCGTTTAACCTCAGTATCATAGTCATAGTTGTTACCACTTTGGTGGGTTTTCGGTAATCCACTGAATTTCCGTAGGGCTGATACATAAACTAATATTGATTGATAGATTTTGATCATCAATCAAAGATTACGGTAAACATTACAGTGATCTCTGATCAGTCAGTGTACATTTTTGTTTGGACTTCATTTTACCGTTATCAGTTAGCCATTTAAAACAATTAGTTACTCTGATTAATTTGCATAGTGTAATAAGAAGACAAAGATCATCAGAACTATGTGATATATTAGCGTAATACAAGTTGAACAATCTTATCACATATATACTTGTAAAGATTTGCCCTGGTAATATTGATTCATTATCTAGTATGATGTGTTTCGAAATATATTGTGTTAATATATCACATAATTCCAATGATCTCCGTCTTCTTATTGCACTACCAAATCAGTCAGTTTTGTTAGTGTTATAACTTGAAAAAGCTGATTTTTCTGGATACTACCGCGTATAACTGAGCACTAGAACACCAAACCCTTCCAAGTCGCAAATAAGAAGACAGAAGACTAACGAAAGGAATATTATTCCAAACAGTGTCAAACATAGTACAAAATTGTCAGGTATTTATAGTTTTTAGTGAGAACGAAATCATCATTATAGTCTTCCAATCCGCGTACAGGGGGTTATTAGCATTATCCAATGGGGAAGCTACACGTTGGAATTCTAGAACATTCTTCCGAAAGGTGATTGGATGGAACGTCTTCGGCTCTTTATGAGCCTCTTACAGCTTCCTCGAGTTCACCGGTGGTCCGTCGTCACAGTTAGCTTATTTTCTTTCTGGACATTCATTGAGAATCAATGTACACCAGAAATATGTTTGATCATTCTGTATGAAATTCTTCGCTAATGTATCATCATGATTCAAACAAAGATGAAACATGAAGTCTCAATTTATGATGGCGAGCTCATTATCTTTGGATCGTTATCCAACGATTTACACATTCCCGACTTCAATTATATCCGATACTCAGGAAACCAATGTGCATCCCTATTATTTTGTAACCAATATGGCTGGAGTCTACCGACCACTACCTCTAACTAGAGCTTCAGGAATATTTCTAGAGGTTCAACATTAGGTTCCACATTATTATTATTATTCCATGGTTTGATTGTATTAAAAATGTATTCCTAATTCATTTGTTATAGATATCCCAGGAGCATTGTGGCATATATTTCTACCGGAAGATTCAAATGGTTTAAGAGAATTTTTATCAAGAGTAAGTGAAAGTGAAACTGGTACACCAGTGGAATCAGGCAGTGATCCAATACATGATCAATTATTTTACATGGATCAATCATTATTAGATCGTTTATATGATTGTATGGGCATTCAACCATGTACGATTGTACAATTTCATGGTGATGCTGTATTCATTCCAGCTGGTGCTGCTCATCAGGTAATATTTTAACTTCTTCCTTTTTGTTGTCATAAGCAAAGGTTAGATCGTACTATTTTTTTTAAAAGGTGTACTTTGTATATTTCACTTCTACTGTTCCCCGCGATGTTATGGTTTATAACTATTCACCCTTGTTAAAACATGATCACTATTTAAACAGTGATAGACGGTCGCTATCAGTGGAATCCAGGATGAGGGTTTCGTTCGATTTTGGACTCGTCAGCTGGATGTGCCTGATCTCAGAGTGAGTTGGTGTTTATTTCGGGGCTCGAAACCATCACTATTTGCTTCAACGCCATTGCGGTATCTACTTGGCTACTAAGTTCAGATAGCCACTAGCTTGTGGAATGGGGTGAATTTTAATTAGTATATGCATTTGTTTTCCGGATCTTCCCATTGATGTTTAGGACTGCAATTGATCAGTATCTTTTCGCATATGTGCATCTTATGAGGATTGCCTCGATATTGTTGTTAAGTTACAAACATTTTAAGCAGCAGCGTATGTATGGTATTTATATATTCAGATTTACCTTTATATACTACTTTAATATGTATTTATCCAAACGCCTAGTTTGTGAGATTTTTATTTTCTTTAAAAATTCTAAACACTTCCATATGACTTATTAACTTTCATTATATCTTATTCTGTTTCGAAGTTATTGTCAATTAATTAGTGGGCCTGATTTATTAGGATTTTTACCGTGGACGTCTTAGTTACATGGCTTGTTGTTTATGTATAGTGCATTATGATTCTGTGATTTGGATTAGGAAAGTACATTGAATGTCATTTTTCCATGTTCTGATTTGCAGCTTAATTGCAGAGGTATTCTATATGGACTGATAACCGTTAAGGTATCAGTTCGCTGAGTTGTAGGGATCAGTATTACTGTTTCAAGCATATTTCACCAGTTTAGGGTCATGTCAAAGACACATTGGTAAAAAACAAAAAACTGTCTAATTTTTAGATTACTATTAAATGTCTAGTTAATCAATGTGATTATTTTCCTGAAGGTATATACAACATTCACTTTCTGTGAAGTTGTATAAAACATGAAATGATGTCTTATTAACGATACTATTCAACTTTCAACCAGAATTAGTAGTGGTAGGTTGAGAATTTGAACGTGGATTCTTCATATTCTTTGATTTGTGCTATTGGATAGCATCACTAGTCCTTATAAAAATGGTGTGTTTTTAAAGGTCATGTGGGTTGATTTGTATTTAGTAAGTGATTTTTCGACTTGTTTAAATTTAGTGAATGATGGTGATGTTAGACAGCTGATGGTAGTTGTCTAAGGAACCTTGGACACCCCCTAGGTTTCGTGCTAGTTGGCACTCATCAGTAGAGAGTTTTCTACCAGCTACATCAAACCACTCATGGTAGAAAAATAGTGCATGTGATATCAAGTCATTGAGGCTAGTGGTCACATCGAAATTTGATTGACGACATTCGATTAGCAACACTGGGGGACTAGAAAAGCTTGATGTTGGTCCACTAGTTTATAGACGCTTCAGAATTGCGGACCCATGACTTTCGGACTCCATGGTGATTGTTTTACGCTTTTACCAGTGAGTTGGCATCCAGGTAGCTCACAGTTCTAACTTCAATCAGCTTCCAGGCAATAGTATCACAATGTGTTTATTGATAACTTAGTTCTAAAATAACTCTCAAAGTTATGGGCAGCTGAGGAAATCCTACGAAATGGATGAGTTCATGGTATTTTGCTACTATCTTGGATTTTTTTGTTACTCAAACTTATAAATCAGAAAATTATGTGAAATCTGTTATATCTGGAAATTGCAATAGGGGTAAAACAGTCGTCATCAGTAACTTATTAGGATGATCGTAGTGCTGTATCTTGAGTTGACTGAAACTGGGAATGTGAAACATTTGATTTCCAACTCATAAGTATTGAGGTGTTCTTCAGTACTCAGTCATTATGAATCTTGAAGGTCATGGGCTCCATCCCCGACCGGATCTTGAATGAGCATTGTTAAATAGGTAATTACTAGGACGAGACAGCTATCTAGTGCTTCCTGGATCTCAATGGCTACCTAAAAATTGTTATTTTGAGATGCGAACCCACAACAGGCAAAAAGGTTTGTTATTTTATTTAAAAACTATCCTCACATGTTTGTTTATTCAATCGATTTTTGATTGAATAACTTACTCTTCATTAATTTATGTATATTTATATAATAGGTGCGAAATTTAAATAGTTGTATCAAAGCGGCTGTAGATTTTGTCTCACCGGAACATTTACCTCAATGTTTTCAATTAATGGAAGAATTTCGTCAGCTATCACCGACACATCAAAATCACGAAGATAAATTGCAAATTAAAAATATGTTATTCCATGGAATAAAAGATGCTTTATCTGTCCTATTGACAAGTAATAATAATAATAATAATAATAATAATAATAATAATAATAACAATAATAATAATAACAATAATAACAGTGATAATAATAACAGCAACAATAATCAAAGTTTGGTCAACCTTAAATCAGAATTGAATTCAGAGTTGAGATCTCATGCACACGATAGACCATTTTCATCAACATCGTCTACATCAGCGATTATACTTCATAATGATAATCGAAATGTGTCAAATAATTCAATCGTAAAATCAGATTCAAGATCAGAGTCTTCACTTCATTATAATTTACAAAATTATCATGTCACAAATTCTGTAAAGTCAATGAATACAAACAGAGGTGGTCGAACTAGAGGTAGACCTGGGCGACCAAAAGCAATTGGTTTAACTAATCATGAAAATATTAACCTATCATCTAGTTCCCCACCGCCATCGTCGTCGATCCCATCGTCGAATCCGATGTTGAATTCGAATACATTTCCGGTTGTACCTGTCCTTAGTGTAAATACTGTTGTTCCCGGTAGTGGTGATTATATCAGCGATAATGATTCAACGAATAATTCTGGTAAATTTCCAAATTCGTTTAAAATTTCTTCTAGAGATTCACTTTCTGCGATATCTTCATCATCATTAATGTTCTCTTCAGATATAATTAAAGATGTTAAACCGAATCTTATTATTACTACTGTTGCTACTAGTAGTACTAGTATTAGCAATACTACTACTACTATTGTTGATTGTGATAGAATTCCTACGACTATGGTTACTAATGTTACTTCCTCTTCATCATTGTTGTCTACTTCTGCTTCTGGTCTGTCTGTGAATTTAGATGCCCCACAACTTATTTCCTCTGCCTCTTTTCCTTGTTCATCTTTTTCATTGTCATCAACATCATCCTCCACATCGTTTTCGTCCTCTTCTTCCTCCTCCACCTCTTCATTCGTATCTTCTACCTCGTCTTCATTATCTTCAGCATGTACTGCACAAAAGCAACATGTTTTATACTAACCGTCTACTTAATTCAGCCAATAATGACTATTTGTCATAATTATCTTATACATACGTTGTCCTGTTCTGTATTGTCTGTCCTCCACACAATCACACATACATACACATAAACGTATGCAAATCATGATATACTGTAAGTGTTTCAGTCAACATAGAGAGGTCAGTGTATACTTGTTGATTATTTTTGATGAAAACACTACCTGTACAAGTGAAAAAAGCAATTTTTCTGTATCTCAATTATCATAGATGTAACTGAGTCTATCGACTTTTCTTTTTGTTCAATTAGGCGCCAATTTATGAATTGTAATTTCTTGTATAGTTCTCACTTTTAATATTTATTTTTCTTGTTTTAATAATGCTAATAATAATAATAATAAATAGAATATTATTAAAACTGATAAATATGTTATACTGTCCGTCCTACTTTCTCCTCTTCTTCGTCTTCTCGTTTTTCTGTTACCACATATTCATCTTATTCTTATGCGTTTTCCTCCCACTTCTTTTCTGAAAAAATCCATTTTCCAAGTTCTTTCCTGTTCCTTATAATTCCTTTATTCTCTCTCTCTCTCTCTCTCTCTCCAGCTCTTGTTCTGATTGAAGCACCGAAAATGAGCTACTAATAGTATTACTACTACTATTACCACTCTCAACATTACTATTACTATCGGTACTTGATGGTGGCAGTAATAGTAGTGGTCGCGATTACCATTACCACTACTACGTCTAGCAGTAGTACCAATTACTATATTTCAACCAGCAAACATATATTTTGGTCTTTGTAGTAAGTTCGGCACATTTTTGTACACCCCGGTCACTTTTATTTGTATCTGTATAAGTGTGTAAGAAAGGTGTTTCTTTTACCGCTCTATTCCTATATTACAGACACACAAACAAATACGTATGTATACATATATACATGTAACATAGAAAAATCCATAAGTACATGAGCATGTCTAATTTATTGTTTGTTTGTTTATGGATATTCTTTCTTGTTTGTGTTTTTCCACACTCTCTCTTGATTTACGGGCCTTTTCGTCACAGATTCCAGGAGTATGATACTACTACTAATAATAATACTACTTATGATTACTATCGTTAGTATTGTTATTATTATTGTTTATTGTTATAATGATTATTACACAATCAAGATAGGATTGATTCATTCTGTAGGTAATTCTCTATGTCTACCACACGTATGTCATATTTCACATAAATGTATTTCATTCATACACATAAAACTGTTTGTTGTGTTTTAATTGCCTTTAATTACTGCGTGTATTTGTATAGATTCAAACTTATCCAGTGGTTTTATGAAGTTGCTTTACACCAGAAAGCGTTTTTAAGGTATCGAGTATCAAAATACATTGTTGACTTATTTTGTGTACATATACGTTATATATATATATATATATATATATATATATATATATATATATATATATATATATATATATATATATATATATATATATATATATATATATATATATATATATATATATATATATATATATATATATATATATAAATGTTTCTACTCGTTCAGGTCAGCAAAACTGTTGAAAAAATGAACAACAATTTAGTTTTTCCTAGAACTGGACTAGACTTTTGTCTTCCGGAAACGACTACTTTTAATCATTTGTTCTAATTCTGCCTTCTCATTGATGGAATTGTCTACATATATATCTGTGCTTACTCTCCAGATGTATAGAGTTACACACACACACATTGTCACATGCATATATATTCAAGCGTAGTCATGTAAGTATGGTGTTTGAATGATGTCAGTCGACCAAACAAGACTGAAACAGTTACTCATTGATGATAATATGTTATTATTGCAAACAGAAAATATAGACCAGTGAATGACTACATTGGTTCATTTTCTGAGGATTATTTTGTTGCGCCTAAACTCAAATAGATGAAGTCACATTCGAATTTGTGACTCAATGGTAGAAAGGCAAGTAGTTCAACTACCGAGCTAGTTATCAGTATGGGGTTATGGAGATTGTTAGGTTTTTGGTTGAAATCATGAATCGATTGATGTTAGAGAACCATTAAAAATCTAGAGGCACTAGATGGCCGTTTTGTCCTAGTATGGGACTCAGCGGTTCGCATCGACGTTCGCGCTCGCAGAATCCGAACCCAGGGTCTTCGATCTCGCGCGCTGACACTTAACCACTAAATCACTGAGCCGGCATCCGACAGTGTTAATGTCTAACTTTAACCAATCCACAAAATTGCGAAATCCCACGAGCACGATCGTGGATGCGCACTGCTGAGGAGTCTCAAGCTAGGACGAAGCGGCTGTCCAGTGCTCCCAGGTTCTCAATGGCGGTCTAACATCAATCGATTAGTGATCTCAACCAAATACTAAGCTAGTATTGTGTTTTTTGGATAACTTTTCCGGAGTATTGTTTATTAAAGTTATGGTTTATTTTCGCACTACTAGTAGCTTGAAATAAGAACACACTCACAACATATATTAGAAGAATATGTGTTAATGCAGGCTGTAGATTTATTAAACGATTTACTTTGCCTAATTCACCATTTATTTACTTTGTTCCATCATATGTAAATTATTGTAGGGAAAGAATAAGTGTCTAGTTGAACTGTATGTTACTAAGACGTTTAAAAGTAAAGGACTAATCGTATTGAACTTGTGATATAACCAAGTCTTTTTAAATTTATAATTACCTGCCAAGATATTAGATATTTGAAATTGCTTTGTGTGTATATGTGTATGTGTGAATTCTTATAAGAATACTTAGCTGGCCGAACCTAATTATGGGGAATGAGGTATCACTTTTGGCCTACTACTTGAATGTTAAGTACTTCAAATACTAAGCTAATAGTCTAAAACTGATATAGTGGACAAAAATTGACATATCGTAAAGGAGGTTGATTACCAAACACTTTTTTTATTTCATGTGTTATTGATGTGCTTTTTATTTGTTTAAAATTTACTACTTAATTAACTTTATCCATTATTATTAAAGATTTTCATCATGAAACCATGTTTATTATTATTATCATACAACTGTACAGAAGATGATAATGAGATAGTCTTATGTTTTTTCTTGGTAAAAAATATAGTAGTTATATGAATAAAACACTCAACTGTTAGCGATTAGCATGGAGATTTGAACTTCACTCTGATTATTTTTATTTCGACAATCAATTAACATCATTAGCCATCACACAAACAGTGTGATTCAAAGTTGAATAAATGACTTTGTACTTTGTTATTGTGTTTTATAGAATTATGTTCTAAATTAGAAAGACTTTTAAATAGTTTAAATCATTTTATTAATACAAACTCAGTTTTATTGTAATAAAACTGTAAAGAAAAATTTAATGAAACAATCACTAATTATTGTTGGTTTTCAATGTGATTTATATTATATCTTATTCATTTAGTTCAACTTCAGTTGTAGTAACTGTGATGATCATTATATTATTTGGAATGCTTAAGTTATAAAATCGTACTTACTTTCTAAAGTTAATGTAGCTTAACAATGTATTAAGCTGGTGGCTGGATTAACTGGCAACTGTTCAAATAAATTGTATTATTCATAATATTTTTTACATGAAATTATAGTTGTCAGTTTAAGGTTGTGGAGATTATTTAATTTCATTTAAATCATAAACTAATAAAAGTCAGACAACCACTGAAAACCTGGAGGTAATAGACAGCTGTCTATTCCTAGTGTTGGACTTATCAGCAGTGCTCATTTATAACCCCGGACACGGGAATCGAACTCAGATTCCTCAGTCTCGCGTACGAACGCTTAACCTCTAGATCACTAAGCCGGGATCTAACAATGTATGCGTTTTATTTCAATCCGTTCACGACAGTGTGCGACCATCCAAATTTGATCGGTTTGTGGTTTCATTAAATTTATAGTAATTGTACAACATAGATACCATAGAAAGAAGTATTTTGAAAGTATCATTGAAGTATATGATACACTTGTTGATAACGTTGAGTCTCTTAAATGGACACTTGATCCGATTTTCTAGCTGCTTGCCAACAACCCTAAGCTAAATCCACACGGCAACTTGAACAAAAGATAGGAGGTGTGAAGTACAAAAAGAACACTTTACTCCATCGTTAGTTGATGTACGAAAAAAAGGGAATTTATAGAGTTACACACAACCTTGGGCTTCTGGAGACTTATGGAACCATACTAAATCTATTGACAGCATGGGTAAATATCCAATCAGAACTGTGACGCGTGATTCTGCATTTTCTAAATGCTTCTGAGAAGACTTTCCAAGGATGGTTGGATAAAATGTCTAGCATTTCTGGGCCCCTAGGGACTTTGATGAGAGTTATTCTTGGGACTCTTCCAACAGTCAATTAAATTACTATAACATCCACAAAAACCCTTTCTTGATAATTCGATCAATGAAAGAGCAGGTTCAGAAAATAAGTGAAGGGTAAACTTGTTATTTATTTGTAGATCATTTAGAGGAGTGCGCATACGAACACGAGAGAGAAACATGTATAAAAGAAAGGAAAAAAATCACATGTAGCCATTTAAGTATCTAAACTTAATTCATTTACTCAGGATATTCAGTGCACTTTGAGAAAAGTTGGAGGTAGGTCGAACGGTCACAGTTTTGGTAACTTGCAATGTTTATGTAATTAACATAGGTTAATGAAATTCTCAAATAGCTTTCTGTTTTACGTCAAATAATTAGGAAGCCTATTGAAAATAGACCTTTTCCTTCCATATATATTTATCCTTATTTCGTTTGTGGGAAATTTTCCACTTCTCAATGAATTGATTGCTGGTTATCTGATTTATGTTATACAGGTGCTAACATATAGTTTCACCTACATATACAAGATGAAAGCAACAAATTAAAATACTGCTGATGTAATAATAATAAGAAGAAGAATAAAAATCTGAAGAGTCGCTTAACCGCAACTGATAGACAGGAAAGGGTAGAACTATAGCAAACGTACAGTCCTTACGATATCGTAGAGTTGA